AATCCTGTTTAGTTTACGGTGGTAATACGATTTCGGTAGAGAAGTGAAATATACGACCGTAATGGAATTTTTTGTTAAATTGAAAAACGTTTCGTCCACTTTAGACAATCAAAAGCAAAATAGCAACGATAAAGTTGTCAGCTTGCTACGCTGCGGAATTGTCAACAAAATGTTTTCTTCAACACAAGTGACCATTTATATTGAAAATGATGGTGTAGAAGTCATTTTCTTCAAATCCAACGCGACGTTTCAGTTGAAAAAATATGAAAATTGAAATTTTTCACTGGTTCATGTATTTTAATTTGTTTTTAATGCTATTTATACTCCATTACTAGTGAAAAAGTGAAAGTTTCAAAGCAGTTCTATCTCATCATGAGTTCATCATTACTTACTCACGTTTTCACTGGCACAAAAGAATGAACCGCATAGTATCTTTAACACATTTTGTAGTTGAAAATTCAANGATTTCGTTGTCACCCGGTATAAAAAATATATCATTCTTTTTAGGTAATTGTATTTTAATGTGGATAATATTTTTTCAAATTAGTTTTTTTTTTTATTTTTAGCCGCTGCGGATTGTCTGATAATCTTGATAATATTTTTTCTATTCCTGCCGTTTTGACATGTTTTTCTTCATGGACCAACATGCATGTGTGTGGATATAAAAAAAATTTTAAGTCAATGAAAATGTAAAATGTTTTGAAAAATCGGTTATGGTTAGGTATTTCGTTTTTCAATTTCCTTTTTGAATGTAATTTTTGAGTTGTTTCTCCCAGTAAGTTTTCTTAGATTTTCGAATTTTTCAGGAATATTACACAAACAATAAATATATAAATACATATGTCCAAATACTATTCCAATTGTCATCAATTCGTTTTCCACCTACAGGCCGAAACAAGCTAATAAACTTGATGTCGTTTTCCTCCTCCTCTACTAACTATATTCGTTGTGAATATTCCTTTCAGTCAACCTGCTATCGCCCTTTAACAGACAAACCCTTAAAACCCTTGTGCAAGCTAAGCATTAACGAACTTTTACTTTCGAACGTATGATTCCTTTCATAGATTTGACATACACAGTAAAAATCACTAACCACCATTAACATTCACCCTAATCAATCAGTTACAGTCCCTCCGCTTCATGTGAAACTATATTTCAATGGGTTATCACATTCAATTTCACAAAGTTTTCAGTGGCTGATTAGAATATCGATCTAAGCTTACTGACCCCTCTGACTTTTTATTTGTGATATTTCTAGAACTTCATCAATATCATCATTAGAATGGGCGAGAGAGAACACAATAGGGATGACACATGCATTTTTTTCATTCTTTCATATAATTGATATCTCAAACAGTGGAATAAATTTCTCTCAAGTTTTTTCTCTGAAGTATTCAAAATAACAATCTAAACACGATTTGACGTTGATTTCGAATTACTTCCTCCAAACGCTAGCGCCACTAGTGGATGTATTATGATCATTCAAAAAACCCGACTTTAATCACGATTAATTAATAATATTACAATGGACTTCAGGATTGAGGAATTATCATGGATCATATAAAAACCAGTTTTAATCTTCTTCTTTGAAGATGATCAGTTGGTGATCGAAACACGTGTCGAGGTGTTAAAAATAACGATTTGGTGTTGGGAAAAAAACTCCAGTAATATTCATTACTACATCAAAGGTTCCAAACAGTGCATCATAAGTATATAAAAACCACTTCAAATTTGCACCTTCAGACCAACAACAACAATATTAATGAAAATAATTCTTAGAAAGCATCGAATATTCAAATTTTGACATTCGTCCGCTAGATGCCGGCAAGGGTATGTCTTTTGACGAGTCAGAAACTGAATTGGATCACTCAAGGTTCATGATCAGGGAACAAAAATAGAGTAAATTAATTGAATACTTCCCAAAAACTAGCAGAGCCGGGAAAACGTACATTTACAAATTCAAAAAGTCAACAAAAAGAATAGTTGTTACCCTTAAATGGGCTTTATCGCTATAACAGATATTCATCAACAGATTAGAGATGTCATTGAATAGGTGGAATATGGTTTCACAGAACTAACTGTATCCTTTAATTAAACAGCTTTCGTTTCACCCGACAATTCCATCTGTTCTACCAATGTGAGCTACCACTGGTGATCTCTTTAACCAATATTCCTGTGTATTTCATCATGATTTAGGTCTTTCATTGAGAGGGTTTTCAGTAACAAATAAAAACAATATTTTGAGATAAAATATATATGTAATAATATCTCAGATAATACAACAAAAACGAAAACTCAAACAAATTGGTACCTATCAAAGATTTTTTTCCAAATGTCCTTGAAGTTCAGTAATATATCTTTGTTTACTTTTTCACGAAGCTTGTATCTCTCTTTGATTTCAACTGTTATTAATTGAATGACATAGTCTATCAAGTTCCCTTAGAAGAAACAAAAACACAAAATTTATGGATATTCATAGACTTCACTACAGTGGGAAGTTAAATAATAATGAGGCCAAAGTATTATTGCATATACGTTTGTTTGGTGAAAAATTAAAAAAAGTGAATCGTTTTTCAAAAATATCCAAAAGGTGATGGCGAGGAATTGAAAACTGTTGTTTTCTCACAAAACTGGCAGATATACGCCTGGAGATTGAGAGCTTTTCGTGTTAATGACATTTTATCATATCACTACTCTTTAATGAAAAATTGTGTAGCACTCCTATGAGTGATATCTGTTCAATATCAATACAAGTGATTGGGATATAAACTGAATAGAAAAAAGTGATTTTCATGTAATTCACTGTACTTAATCGAATGCTGTTCTTTCATATATTTTTTTTATTTGGTATATATCTGAAAGAAATTTCTGTACATGACCTAAATACTTTCATGAAGAGTATTTCTCAATACTTTTCAAAAACCCCTCACAAGACGGTTTTTTCCTTATTTATGGATTTATGTTAGGAATCGCACGTTAAACGGTAAGGCCTCGTTAATCATTAGCTCGCACAATTTCGACTTCTGAGGAAGGTCTCTGTGAGGGGGTTTAAGGAAAAACAGATTTCAACAGACAGAAGATGAGAAAAGTTATATTTGATGAAAAAATCAGTTTCACTCACAAAGCCGATTCTAATCAAATCATATTTGTATCCACAGGTTTATCCAGAAAATAGAATTACTTCAACTATAAGACAATTTGTTAGACACCGGCCATGAAAGCCTACAGACCATGATTATGGAAAATTGTTCAACTTGTTCAATTGATGACCTATTAAAATTGTAGAAGTTCATACTCAATATGGGATAGAAAAAATAGTTTTTGTCTGATTGCTACTATGATTTTCATTTATTACGACCGGTTTTGGTTTGTTAGAGCATTTTCAAGTAACTTGAAATTAACAAGTTACTTGAAACTTGAAATTAACAAGTTACTTGAAAATGGTCTAACAAACCGAAACCAATAGTAACAAATAAAAATCTCAGTAGAAACCAGATAAAAGCTATTTTCTTTATCCTATATTCATATTTGTTCAAAATTTGGAACAGTTCGCATTCGAACTCAAAAAAATCAAGTGTATTTGCACTCCATGGAAACAAAATTATCATTTTGAAACTTATGATATGATTTCAGAATAAAAAGTATTTGTTGTTCAGTGCTATGAATTTGTGAATTTTCATAAAGCTGTGGTCATCAGTTCAATGGGCATTAACTGGAGGTAGCCATAAGGTAGTTGAGAAGATCATTCAAGATCGAAAGGATGGAGAGTGTTTCGAATATGATGAAGAAACATAAACAGTTTAACAGAAATGAAAGTGATTTTTCAATTATTATGGATTATTTGCAGAATAATCCCGAGTAAATATAAGTAAGTGTTTTATAGAGTTTATACGGGTATAAAAACCCATCCAGAAAGACACGTATTTCACAAGAAATATAATATCAAATTAGGCGAAAATCACTATCAAAAGAATAGTTACCTCACAAAACTCTCTATACTGATCATTTCAAAATTTGAATTTTTGCATCCAATCAAGACATCAATATTCGAGGAGACTTGACGTTTGGATAGTTGTTTCATACTCCAATATAATGGATCCATATTTCCTTAGGCACAACATTGATATTTTGGATTATCTCAGTGATATACCACTGGCAAATAGAGAAAAACTTCATTTTCAACAGCCTTGGTCATTCCCCACCATTTATGATAAAATGCTTAGCTGGGCAGTTTCCAAGTCAATGGATCAGACGGTTAATGGACCAATTCTCTGGCCCCCCTGAAGTCCTGATCTAATGATCACAGAATTTGATTTTTAGCGATATTCATAGCAGATAGTTTGAATTTGATATCGATAATGACAAGGAAATATTGAAGAATGAAACATGTGAGACAGTAGACCGACTCAAAAAATTCGGAATGCATATTGTAACTTCGGAGATACACTAGATTTATCTGCTGGAATTTGTGGAAAACTTTTTAATGATACGCACCAGATTAAATTTTTGACATTAAAAAACTTGTTTGTTGTTGTTGAAATACTGTTATTATAGAAGTTATTCAAAATGAAAATAGTATTTCTGACTGAAGCCATAAGTTTGATCAGAAATGACTTTCATTAGTGAACACAAGAATAAAATATTTTTTTCATTTGGTACCTTAACATTAGGTCAGGAGGCTGCAACAGGAGTAGGATGAATTTCAGGTATTGAATTGTATTGAAACCCTCTTCAGAATCATCATATGATAATGCTGATGATGATAGCACAATTTCATAACCAATTTGATGCTATATTATCTAATTAAAGGAGAGTTAAGTCAAACAATTTCCTATGGAATTACTGAAAATGATGGGTAAGTGATAATACCAGAATTTGGGAACACTCAATTGAATATTCAACCGTTCTGCATTATAATTATCAAAAATCTCACTAGTTTCTGTAAAGGTTTTTGCTGTAGCTATATGAATCTACTGATCAAATATGAATATGAATATACATAAATGTTTCAATACCTATATCCAGAGCTGCAACTTACCTGAAACAAAAAATTTCATATTGCTGTGATAAGAAGTTCAAAAAATCTCTTAGTAGCTTAAACTAAAACACTAGAAATTCCTTTCGATTGAAAGAGTTAACACATAGATTAGCAGGCTTATGCTTTTCAAATTGTACAAGAAACTTCTAAGCATTGAGTTGTTTCAAAACTTTTGTCCGTTTCAACGTCATGTGTTTTTGTAACTCCACATCTCAATAGATATTTATTCTACTGTGTCGTGGTATATACTTATCGATAGAGAATTTTGTACTCATTGACGCTGTTCATTTTTTCCAATTTAAATTTTGTCTCATTTCAGCTTATAATGTCGTTAAGCAACTTTCGGCCAATTTTCTCTAAGAATTCAAATTGATCCGAAGCGATGAAGGCGGAAGAACAGGGCTCAGCACCCCTGCGGTTTTTGATGGTTCAATACGTATCGGAAAGGTACTAAAGATCGGAAAGTATTTCGAGGTCTGTTTTTTTGCTTTTGCACAACCGAAACGATACTTTTTTTGGGCGGATCGTCACATGTGATGAAAAGTGTATCCTCTATGACAACGAATATCACATATCACCATCGGAAATTGAATCGAATTAGGCATCCAAGTTCTATCTCACCCACCATACTCTCCAGACCTCTTGCCAATGTTGGCAAACGTGCACCGATTCAAATGACGCTTATTTCGATTGAATTGAATATGTATTCACATTTGAAGTAGACTAATTAAAAAGAACAAAACTTTTGAAACAACATAATACAATAAAAAATCTGGCTTCAAAACTGTTTAATTATCCAATCAAAGAGTTCATCCTAGGTGAATCCTATCATACTCTTGATGAATATATGAATGTTGATCCCTGATTGCGTACATTTAATATTTTGAGCCACTTTTAATGACAATGCTGTTACATAAGTGACAGGTTATTGTTTTGACTATCAAATACAGTCTTACATCTTCTGATGATGCTAATTTTGTTAAGAAAACACATGTTGACAGTAGTTTCGTTCTGTTGTTTTTAAAAGGACAAAAGGTGTTCTTTCAATTTGGCAAGTATGCATACATTCTCAATCACAAGTTTATTAACAAAATAACTTTATGAAAATGACGTAGGATTGGTGGCTCTGAGATCTTGGACTATTAGCAGTTTCAATTAAATTTGTTTTGTAACTGAAATAATCAGTATCACACTTGATTTTTCGTCAATACGAAAATATGAAATTATCAAAAATAAACAAAAAATTTTTTGTTCTACGCATAATAAATATTAATATTTTTCACAAGTGCACTCAGAGATGACGGATCTGAACGTAAAAAAAATAATCAGTTGTTGAAATAATCATAAAATCTGAATTATTCATCAAGGTGAAATTTGTTTCTGTTCTTTAGTAAAAAAATAATTCGACCACAAATATAAAGTCATTATTTAACTCGGTGTTTCAGAATTCCAAAAGATACCAACTACTTGTCTAGGAAACTTTTCATTTCGACTCAAAAAATTAATAAACACATCTCCCATTATATCTTTCATTCGAAACCATTAAAAGTTTGTTATTAACAATCACCTGTTAAATGATTCCCAGTGAACTCAAAATCGTCGTCCTGGTCCCAATGCTTCAGCGACAAATTTGACAGTGGTGTTGCATTCGCGAATTCCAAATTTGCAAAGTGCCAATCCAAAATTTGACGATCTTTTGAAGACAAATACACATCACTGAAATAAAAACAAGTTAGATTCCATTAAACATTCATCATGCGTAAAAAAAATAAGTAGCAAGAGGTGTGATTTCTTCCTAGAGGAAATAAAGGGCAAAACCTACAATCAGTCCCTCATTTAAAAGTTACAAGGTACTCCAGAAGAAACAGAGTTTTTTGTTCTCTGATTGATGAAAAATGTTTAAGTTAACCGTTATAATTTCAATATTTGGCTTCACAGCGATTCAGTTTTTACCTCCCTAATCGTCACAAAACGCCGTCCTTTTATAGGTCTCTACAATCTTGTGAACAGGAAAAAGTCGAAGGGGGCTAGATCTGGTGAATACGGTGGCTGATGCTTGATTACGGTGTTGTTTTTGGTCAAAAAATTATGAACAAGCACTGATGAGTGATCAGGTACATTGTCGTTATGCAAAAGCCATGAATTGTTGTTCCACAATACCGAACGTTTTTGCTTATAATACAGTGCAGTTTTAAGAATTCATCTAAACGTACTTTGACTTGTTTCTCACTGATTTTTGCTAAAGTCGGTATTAAGGAAATAGGACGCAGATTGGAGGGATTGGGATTATCTAAATCACCACCTTTATGCAGTGGAATGACAACGGAAGTTTTCAGGGAAGAAGGAAATGAGCCAGTTCTGAATGAGGTATTAATAAGGGCGACCAAAGTTTCTAGAGCATTGAGTGGTAAACTCAAAAGAATCTTAACGGAAATATCATCATATCCGGCCGTGTTTTTGTTTTTAATATCATGAAGTGTTTTGAACAATTCATTAATGTCAGTGTCATATAAAATAAGACTGTTATGAATTTTTATATTGTCTAAGTTGATCAATGGATCATATGGAGCATGAATTGTGTTACTCAACTGTTTAGCAATAGAACAGTAGAACTCATTTATTATATTAGGATTAAGTGAGAGTTCAGAGTTTTTCGTTTTTGTTTTACCTCTTATATCACTAATAACTGACCAAGTTTCTTCAATTTTATTCTTCGATTCCCCCATTCTGTTGCCGTAATATATCCTCTTAGCTAGACTGATAGTGGATCGATAGACTTTTTTGTAATCATTGAAATAGTTCCAGAAAAATGTTTCATTTGTGAATTTTGTGATATAATGCAGTGAGCGCAGGTTTCTAGAGGATGTTTTCAGTCTTTTTGTAACCCATGGCTTTTTACATTTATTTTTAATTATTTGTTCTGGAAACAACTTATTTCGGACAATGCAGTGCGGAATGATAAAAAGTACACACAAAACAAATAGGAGGCTCACATTTTTTAACCAGCAAAGCCATGGTATTATATTAGACACTCTTCTATTGCTGACACGGTCTTGAATTGAATTGAATGTTACACTTTCAATAATTTTACACTAGTGTTGACTTGATAACCTTCTATTTCTGAAGTTAGTAATAATTAACTTTTGACAATTATCAAAAAAAAACATAAACATACCTTGGTTTCGATTTCTCCAGTTCTTCCAGCTTATCTTCAATCTCCTTGGCTTGTTCTTGTAACTGGTCCCACTCGTTGGCCAAGTCTCTCAAATCTTTTACACCACTTCGATAAGCAAACTCCTCCTCTATGTTACGTTTTTCAATGGCGAGCATTTCCTTCACCGTAGCATTTATTTCTTTCATCTTCTCTTTGATGTTTACCAACATTGACTGATTGGTTTTCAATTTTTCTTGAAGAGCAATCACTGATTTGAGGTGTTCTATCTGTTTCTCTTTGACATGTTTTTCCTATAAATTTAACATATGCAGGACTACATGAAGATGATCCACAATCCAAAAACATAACACAAGTTGCTCTCAAAAAGAAACTGTTTTTTCAATGGGTGTCATCTGTTCAACAGGCTTCCCGATTAAATTAAAAATTGACAAGTTTTCACAAGGTTCACGATTAGACAGACACAAATATTTTCAAATTTCTCCTTTTTTTGTTCAGGGTTAGGAGTTGAAATGGAATATAGTTATCCCTGTACTACAAAAATGGTATTGAAATATTAGAGCGGCACTTGAACACAAAACAACGTGTTTTCTTTCTTAGAATCAGGTGTTATTTTGTTAAATTATAAAACAAAATAGTTTGTTTCTTTAGAAACAAGTTAATTCAAGGCAGAACAAACATATTTATTAGTTTCAAAAATAGTCTTGCAACTCACCTGTAGTTTGATGACCCATTCCAAAGCTTGTCCCAAGCTGACAGGCTTATTTCCGGCATAATTAAAATCAAGCTGATGAGACAAATAGGACGTTGCCTCAAGAAGTCTATTGAATTCTCTTTCCACCATTTCGTCTTTATCTTTGTCTACTGTGACACCATTGGACTGATATAAAGGACACTTTTGCCGGATACGATGTAATTCCATATCAATTTGTTTGCTCAGAGTGGTCACTGGATTTCCTCCAAGTCCTGTAACTACCATTGCTCCCAGATCGGCAATGTAATTTCCTGAAAAAAATGATTCTTAAAGAGTTGGGATTCAATGCTGTAACAACTGCAGAACTATGGAATGAACAAATCTCAAACTTTAAGTATTGAAAAATGAGATGAATTTATATTGACGAAACTTGAGGTGCACTGTAATACTATTCAGGTCTATACTCAGGTTTATAATACTGAAGAAAATATAATAGATTATTATGGAGACAGTCAAGAATTCAGGAACCTTCTTTTAAATATGAGAACAGCAACTGTTGTTTTCTATCTTGCTGACCTTTAACAATGGAGAGAGGACTACAGAACTACTGGGTAACAGGTCTTTTTTACTGTATATTCAGTGTCCTCAGATGATACTAATATCAATTAGTCAATACCTATTTTCTCATCCTTTATACTGGAATGTTTGTGTAGATTCATGAAATACCTGCCAATACTGCTAATAATAACAATATAATTTTTTTATTCATAGACAAATACAATAATATTTTTGAATATATACATTATTGTGGAGTGAATATGGAGCCCAGCAGCTCAAAACTCCCTATAATTCTCCATTTCATTATTCCTGTATAGACTAACTAATCCCCAGTGAAAAAGACAAATTGAAATATACTTGGTTCATATAAGTAAAATTATATAAAATAGTTATAACTGACCTCCTTTAATTGACATTTGATTCAGTTGTGCCAAATATTAGACTCACCTTTTCTGAAAGTAGCAATACGGCCCCCAACCCTGTCTCTAGCCTCAAGAACAATAACTTCCAATCCAAACTGTTGCAATTGCTGTGCAGCAGCTAATCCGGCGATTCCAGCGCCAATTACAATCACTTTTCCATATTTTTTCGCAGGTATTGGCTTGAGCCTTTTGAAAATACCATAGTTGATGAATCCATTTCTTTCCAAAAATGCATGTACCCTCTTCAACAGAGGGATATCACTATTGTAAGGAGCTTCCATTCGATCAATTGCATGTTCTAAAATAAGATAAATATTTGTTTCAACATCTCGGGCTAGTTTTTGAAAATATTTTAATAAGGTTGATATATCCACTTATTATGAATCTTAAGTCAACACTAGGTGCTCCCATCTGATTTTGGAAATATGGCCACTCAAAAGTCAAAACTGTTAAAAATTCAACTGATTCAGGAGCATACTTATGAATATAAAATCCCATAAATTGGAACTTCCTTTTCCCAATTGCATGTTACAATTGTGAAAAGTGTCATTTCATGTGAGTTCCTGAAATAGATAATTCTTTGATACCAAAAGTCGACCGGAACGCCAAGTATTGATTTCAGATTTGTGATCATCAATCAAAAATATGCAAGACTAGTTAAAAGTTTTCCAAAACAAGCGTGAGCCAGGAAAACACATATTTACCCAAAATGAGTTGCAATTTGGGATTTTCCAACCACATTTGCAGAATACGATTTCGTATATTCAGATATACTTTGATGGTTTGTAGAGCAGCATTAGCAATATCAGGAAAACAAGCTGCTTCCGTTGAGGTCAATTTGTCGAAAGGCATTCGACTCTGGAAAGCAGCACCTTCCAAGCCAGAAAATAAGTCTTTTATTACAGGATCGTCTAGTTCTGAATCTACATCATCGTCCTCTTTACCGGTTTCCTCCTTTTTGGCTTCTTTTTTCCCAATTTTTGAAGTGCTAGGGTTGAGTTTCTTCTCTGGTTGTTGAATTCGGACTTTTTCCGTATTATCGGTAGAATTGTTTTCTTCGTCGGCGCAGCCGAGCTTTTCTTCTATTTCTTTGTATTCGAGCTTAAATTGTTGAATTTTATTAGTAAATAATAACCTCACTTTTCCTGTTTATGATATATCTTGTCCAGTGTTCAACAGTTCTCAAAGAAAACAATACTCACCTTGACTTTTTTCCTTTTACTCATTTCAGGAACGTTTTTATGTAATGTTTTAGAGATAAAAATTGTTATTTGCAAGATAACTAACCACCGGCGTACTCTTGGTAGGAAGTAAACAAATTATTTTATTGTTTTGATTCTTTGAAATTTGAAACAAGGTTATTCCACCGTTGTCATGTCGATTTTCAGTGGGATTGCTTCAAGGCGCATTCTCATGAGCAGCAACCATCGACATAAAATTACAGAAACAGTGACATTTGACAGATTTTGCTGCTCGATCAGCGATTGCTATAATGGTCGAATGTTTGAACTCTACAAAGAACACTACGTTTCTCATTTTCATAATTCTCATTTGAAAATAAAGGTCATATCAATTATGAAAAAAGAATCAAGAGCTTGCAACATGTCTCATGAACTATTTGTCGGCTGTAACTTTCCTCATTTTATTCTGTCAGTAAAAAGTCTGCAATGTTACATCTCTTCCGTATTTAATGGGATTACAGTCAGAAAATATTTTTAAAGAGAAATGTGCCATCAAGTTTTCAACATAGGTACCAATTTGTTAATTACGTGATTAATGTAATGTAAAAATAGCGTTGAATTTGAAACTGTAGGGAATCTCTCAATCCAAAGAATGATGCGGCCAAAAAATTCATTCAAATAGTCATCCTCAACCCTTTGGAGCATATTTTGTTACTGCCGATAGATAGTATTTCATAGACAGATGGTTTATTTTCAAATATAGCCTGATAAGCAGACCGGTTTTCAATTATTATTCTTCACGTTTTCGTACGTGCACTATGTAGTTTGTAATCATTTTAGGTTAAATGATTATATTGGTTATGTGTTTGGTGTTCTAATGTAATAACTGGTCTGGTGGGTCCTGCAGATACATAGGTATTAAAAAAATTCAACTCGCAACAATATCAGCATCAAAGTAATATTCAAATTGATGGTACAAAAATGTAGCATCTGTTTTTAGGGTTGATTAATGCAGCAGTCATTTGTCACAAACACGATCACAAATTTTAGGCTTAAGAATTCATATTTTTCATGTAGTACCCATATAAAGTTACAAATAGTACATATAGATATTATACGTATCTACATATCAGATAATATATATGCTCGTCTGTGATGCAGGGTTGCTAATTCATTTATATCACTGTGGTCTTTTTGAAAGCGATATTTTTTCAAATTTAGATATTCTGGAACATCTAAAGAATTGGCAGTACAAATTTCAAATATATTCCTCAGTACTTCCAATGCCAATGTCATATCAACCATTCATGTGCCAGCCGAGATACCTGTATTAGGTCTGCCGGATTTTGCAATTATATAGGTTGTTCACGTTAAGAAGAGAATGACGTCATTTCTGGTAAGTTTTTTGTATCCAATATAAGAACGTTAAAATTCACACAGAAATACGTTCAACAGCAATGAAACTAGTAACATTTCATTTTGTAAGTTGCTCAACTGATAGTAAAATTACAGACGTTGCCGAATCGAAAAAAACTGAAAAATCAATGATCTATCAAAATTTGAAGTACCTACTCTGAGTGTTTTGTTATTGGCATACGACCTTAATTTTTTTTTAGACAGATCGAAAACTCACAAGACTGTGTCAAATTGCAGAAGGGCGTCAATACTGTCCATCGATGCGGTGTGTACAAAATGAGCTCCTGTTCAATATACTTGAATGTTTTGTCCTGTCTTGTACCCAAAAACTTAAGACACGATATGATTACCCGATGACTGGTATAAAATTATCCATGGTAGAGACTGAGTCAGAAATTTGGGTATATATACTAGAACCCTAATATAAACCACATTTGGATTTTTGGATAACATGACATTACACACAATATGAATTATGGAAGTTGTAACATTGTAATGAGACAAAAGTGCACATTTCAATGACATTGAAGCGATTAATAATTATATAATAGTTTGGTCAGACCTAAACTTGAATATGGGGCTGTATATAGTCTGGCATCCTTCTCATATTTCATGTATATATATATATTGAACCGCGTCTGGAATTTTCATCTTTTCGACGTTTCGGCTCCTGCTTTAGATCCATTTTATAATGAAACACGTGTTGTAGTTTTCTAAATTGTTCAGTGAAAAACTCGCAATGAAGTGTTACTTGAATAGGTTATTGATTTTCATCAAGCACCTATCGGCCAATTCCAATACATTGTCAACTATTTTCAAGCAAGCTGGTTAGTGATGACAGATAATAATTTTTCAGTCTTTTAAATCTGTAAAAGTTACTTGTGGTAGGTATATCCTTATATATTCCTTCGGCCATCACACGTTCATGTTTGAACTGCGTTCCAATGAATGTTCAGGTGAAATTTTCAAAACGTGACAAAATTATAGCTGTTATATCATTAGCGGCTACCTCAATATGCTAACTTCGTTGACGGCGAGGACGAATACCTACATAAGATCGTCAACGGACGCCTTGATCCAGTCGGCGTTTCAAGTCCGTGTAAAGCAAATCAAAGTGAATTTTTAACCGGTCTCCCATATGCACATGTAGCCGCGGTGAAGAAGTGAATACTTACCATCGTCACCAACCAATTTCCAGTTGGATAGGTTTATCTTCAGGTATTTGTATTGTTTTTTGTGATGGCGGAGGCAGTGACTTCACTAGATTCAGTGTTGGTTCAGATTGGCGACTTGGGGAAATACCAAATACTGGTTTTTACGCTGGTTTCTTTCGCTGTTGTCCTGCATTCAGCCGTGCATACAGCATTTGTTTTCACCGCATTGGATGTCGGTCACAGGTAGGTTGGTAGCTTTGATTGAATGTTAATCATGTAGCGGAAAACTAGTATTTTTTTACAATAGATTTCAATGCGCTTTACGGAAACCATTGAGATAATTAGACGAAGGCTATTGTAAAAAGTGAATATTCAGTAGTGACTCTTCATCTGGAATCGGAACTGAAGTACAAACAATATTCAGCTTAGTCCGGGAATGTTGGAATTTCTTTATATTACTATAGGAAGGTGATAAAAGCTACTTTCGAATGCAATAGCTCTTTTTTGTTTATCAAAATGATTTCTACAGAGAAGTTGCAGATTCTTGGAAATTCGGAAATTCAGTTCAAAATAGACTATTTTTGAGAAAAAAAAGGTTTGGGATTTCTACTTCTCCATCTTAATATAAAAAAATGTGGAAAATTTTAGAATAACTAAAGAAACTTTCAAAATAAAATCTTCACAAAGATGTGTAGATCATGCAAAGAAGTATATTTCAGACACAAACTGGGAAAAAAGTCCTCTTGAAACAACTACTTTCATATAAACCTTGAATTACACTTTCGAAACAATTACTTTTACATGAGCATTGAATTATACAAAAATATTTTTTCCTATTCAGTTTAAACAATATTCCTATGGCTGGGATCGAATCAAATAAGCGAATGAATGTCATCACGTACTGTCATCCATGACATGAGTAAATTTAACTCATTCGTGA